ACTACTGCTGCTGCTTGTAATACAAAACTTTGCCTCTCAGTAGCTCTGTCTTTGTTATTATATGTCATTTTAATATCTCATTGCCCGAAAATAGTATAACTGAAGAGAAAATTTTGCACCACATCCATCTTTTGTTTAATCAGTACCAGTGACTTTTTAAACATGTTTTTCTGGTCAATTTTTAAAATAAATTATAACAAATCTAAGCTATTGCAAAATTAATGGTCATAGCAATATCTAAAGCCTGGGGTCATCACCCCGGATACCAGCACTTCCTATGTCTATTTATTACTATTGAAGTTTTCATTCATATTCAACATCCAAGTCTGGTGCATTTTGTTTGATGAAAACAAGCTAATTAGTGCTGAACCTCCCCTACTTCATAAATTTATTCCTAAGAACATTAAAAGGAAGTCAAGGGAGACATGTTCAGTAACAGATGTTTGCCTTTTTTGGCTGTCTTTTTACAGTTTGTTCTTTTTCACTACTTTTTAAGAAATTTAGTTAATGTTCCCTTTACTAGAGAACAAGAAGCGTACCTAGCTTCCCAGGAGATTGGGGGGTGGGGTGTAAGGGAATTCCCCAGGGCAGGCACAGTGTTTCATTTCTATAACCTGATATCTATTTAAATACTCTCTATAATCAACTTTTCACTCTTTCACTCAAGTTTTGATAAGAATCATATGCCAGCTTATCTCACAAAGGAGGAATATGTTGACTGGAGAACTACAGCCATTGTGGGCACTGCAACTACATGCTGATGGGTCTCATGTCCTCAAGCATCTTTCCCATATGAGGATTCTCAAAATAAAGGCTTAATAAAGGCTCAATATGGTTGAGAAAATTTGGTTGAATCTCTTGGCTTCTACAGTAAAGAAAAACTGTGAAATGGCTTCCTAGGAAGTAAAAATCCAGTGGTTCCTTACAATAAAAGAAATGATAAATTCAGATTAAAATACTTCTCTATAAAATTAAAATGATCCAAGAAATACTAATGTAAAGCCATATTTTTATTATCTAATTAATTAATACTAATACTATTATCCATTATTCAAAACTAGAAATACAAATGGTTGGAAAATAATTTTTTCTTAGCACATAAAAAGAAAAAATTCTTACTATTAGAGTTAGATTATTTCACTCTCTTCTGTGTTTACAGAGTAGCTAGATGAGCAAGTAACATAATTTACTGTTGGTTTTTTTTATCAAGCTATTTATAAGAGCACTAATGATAAATATATTAATTTTTACATCTCAGAATTTGCTAAACACCAAGGTTACTTCCACAACCACACTCTTCCAGGTTGTGGGCTTTAGACATTATCTTGGAGTTAGCGAGCCTTTTAAAGAAGAGTTATGAAATGAAATTGCAGCAAAAAAGGTGGAGATGGTGGGCTTTCCCATATTATTGCCATGTAATATTACATTTTTTATGTTACACAGGGGATTATATTCACAGATTCTCATTTACCTTGGATAAATATTATCTTTCAAGATAGTGAAAGATATAAATACCTCAGTACATCAGAGACCATAAAAAGTAGCATCAATAACAATTTCTTGGAGATGCAGTTTCTTTAACTTCATATAAGGAATTTTGAGGGGCCTATATGCCATAGTTTAAATAATTGGAAAATATTGGAATAAATGGAAATGTAATTCTAACACATTAAATTTGCAACTGTAAAAATGAAACATTAAAGATATAATATTGAATTATTATTTCATTAGAACTAAAGCATTTAATGTTACAAAATATTTTTAAAAGAAAGCAAAAACTCAGTCTTTAAGAGAGGTAGTGTTCTTTTAAAAATCTAAAAAAAGCATATCCACAGTGACTTTCTTATTTAAGTGAATTATCATTTATATGAGTACCTAAGTTGTAGAGTGTGTTTTGAAAGCAGAATGTACTATATTTTTCTCTTATCCTACAAAATCAAAGACAGGGTTTTCTGAGACCTGTATTAACTCATCTTTTAACAATTCAGGTTTCTAAGCTTTCACTTTTCTTAATTATATTTTGTCTTTTGAACTAATTGAACAAACTCATATCAAGGTTACTTATCATTTCTTATCCATTTAGACTACCAAGAAAGCAGAAAATATAAAAATAATAAGTATTGATGAGGGTGTAGAGAAATTAGAAAACTTATCACTCTTAGTGGAAATGCAAAATCATTAAGGAATGATTTTTCATTCCTCAAAATATTAAACATAGGAATGTAATGTGGTCCAACTATTCCATTTGGGGGCATGTACTTGAAAAACAAAAGCAGATCCTCAAATAGCACTTACACAGCCATGTTTGTAGTGGCATTATTCACAATATCTAAAAAGTAGCAGTGATTCAAATGTCCATACAGGGATAAACAAAACATGGTGTATAATAATACAACAGGCATTATTCAGCCTTTTTAAAAAGAAAGGAAATTCTGGCAAATGTTACAATATGGATGAGCCTTAAAGATACATCATGCTAAGTGAGAAAAGCCAGTCACAGTAGGACAAATCAAAGCTACAGATACAGAAAGTAAAATATTTGTTGCAAAGAAATAGGATGACAGAAAATCGTGAATTGATGTTTAATGGAAAGATGACAAACATATAGAGATAGGAAAAGGTACTGGCTACACAATAGTGTATTCAATGCCACAAAACTGTTCACTTAAAAATGTTTGAAATGGCAAGTGTGATGGCATTTAGCCTAAGAAGTGTCTTATTTTTTAAAGATTTATTTATTTATGCATACAAGAGCTGGGGTGCAGACCAGAGATGCGTGAGAGGATTCACCAGAGATGGAGTGGGGAGCAGAACAGGCAGATGTACTGAAATACACTGTTGAGGGGAGCAGTGGGAGAGACAGGAGAGGTCTGCTACATCATGTGGGTCACCTCCCTGGACGGGGATCAAACTCCTGCTTCAGTGGCTGCGGATAGCTTCATTGTGCTGACATTTAACCCCTTGCACCAATGGCATATATATTTTACCACACAGGGAAAAGATTATTTAGAACTTGGTGTTTGATACATTCTAGGACTATTATCTTAAAAAATAAACAAAAGGGGAATTCTTAGTGAAAGATGCCTATTAGACTTCCAGTGTTGAAAACTGAAAATACAGTGAGATGCAAGAAATAAATTCGAGTGTCTGAATCTTACCCCATCTTATTTGATATAGCTGGGTTGCACGAGTAACACAGGAGCCAACTGGACTTATACAAAAGGTTTATTAATACTCACCCTATCTCCGCCCCAAACTCTTTAGGCAGGTGTGTCCATACCTAAAGCACCATCTACTCAAATCCAAGGTTAGTAGCCTTTTGTATTCCTATGTTCCCACTTGGCAGTGAATAAACATTCTCTGTGTTGCATTCAGAGCACTCCACAATCTAGTCTACTCTTGCCAGATGTGCTCCACAAGGAAGTATATTTAAAGTACTTCACAAAGGTAGGATCATTAAATTATTAGCATAAACAGAGTTAGAAGGCTTAAAAGCAATATAGAAAGTGGCTTTCTATGGGTATTATTGTTAAGGACATGTAAATATAAAATACATATGCCATTAGCTGGAAGTAACTCTCTATACTCTCTTTAATATGTTCTGAAAGTAGAGGATTACAAAAACTGCTAGAATTGCAGGAAACAATAGTAAAATAATTTCCTTGTCTGAATTCATATAATTTTCCTGCATAATATCCAACAATGTCCTTGTGTAACATGAGGTTGCAATAATTCAGATTTAGTAAATTTGCTTACAATGAATCAGCATCACGAGTGAAACACGACATAATTCAAAAGTTTTGGTTTACAGGAAAAATACAAAAACTCAATATTTGTTTTTCAAAATGGGAGATAAAGAATGATCATTAGATAGGAAAAATAATTGTTTAATATATTTCAATTGCTTATTAGTGCTATGAACTGAATTGCTGAATTGCATCTCCCCAAAATTCATATGTTTTCACTCCCAATGTGACTGTTTTTGGAGAAAGGGCCTTGAGAGAAGTAATTAGATTAAATAAGGTCACAAGGGTAGGGCCCTAATACAATATGACCAGTATCTATTTAAGAAGAGAGAAACAGGGCCACACAAGGAAAGGTCATGTGAGGACAGAGAGAGAAGGTGGCCACCTGCATACCAAGGAGCAAGAGGCCTCAGGAGAAATTAATGCTGCTGGCACCTCAATCTTAGACCTCCAGAATCTAAGACAGTGAGAAATAAATTTTCTTTATTTAAGCCACCCAATCTATGGTCCTTTGTTATGGCAGCCTAAGTAGACTAATACAGATGGCAAGTCAGGAAGGAAAATAATTAGTGATATGAAACTAGGAAATGGGAAAAGGATCACACATAGCACAGAACACACAGTAGAGTATGAAACCTGGACATAATGTGAGACACAATGTTGTACAATTGGTTTTTGCTATCTTTGAAGAAATAGTTGCTAAAGATGTCAGAATCACGTAAGTTTCTTCTACTATTTATATAGGGACAACTTAGGAATTGTCCTGATGAGATGAACTTAATTCGTCTACTCATCAAAAGCCTGATTCATTTTCAAGTCACAGATAAGCACCCCAGCTCTGATTCAGAAAAACATCAAGGACTGGCCATAGAATTGCCCCTTGAATTGTCAGTCCTCTAGTTGCCACAGTCCTAACAGATGCCTTCTTCTCCATTGCCCTCCATTCTATTTTCTTGATAGTCCAGGTATCATTATAAAAATAGTTATTATCACATTTGGGGCAAACCATTGTGATGATCATTTTAGCTATTAGTGCTCTTTAGATAAATATTAATACACATATTTAGGAGTTAAGGTGACCAACAAGATTTATGTAAAATATGATAACAGAAGTAAGGCATTACTTCAAAAACTTGATTAATTTCAATGGAGAATCATTTTAGGAAAGAAACAGGTGCATATAAAATTTCATGTTATTTCAAAATTAACCAGATAATTACCCAGGAAAATAGTAATTGAACCTCAATTACTTACATCCCGAAACACTGATGATGATCTGGAGAAAGCTAACCGATCAGAGTCAGGAGTCGAGCGGCTAGACCTTGATGAAATTCCTCTCCAGTCGCAGACTGCTCTGTCTGCCAGAAATGTCAATGTGGGTTAAAACAATATTTATCCAGGAAAAGTACACACTGATCATATTGCTTAATGTTACAAAGAGGAAAGTAAATCAGCTTTATGGACCCACTATTCAATATTAAAATCACATCCTGTCATCTAATTGGAGAGGGATGAAGAAGCAATGGCGTTGCACAGGGACTTCAATTAATTGGCTCCCTCATACAGTAAAACTCTAGGTTTTTTTTATTGCATTACAGTACATCTCATCAGAAAACTAATAGGTTCATTCTTCTGACTCCCTTCTCTTCAGGAACATTGACTTCTTTTTTTAAAGAAGCTTAAAGCAAAATCATATTTATGAATAGCACTTATAACAATAAAAGGAAAACTCCTCTCCCTGTCATATAAGTACTTTAAAAGAAAATTCAGAATTATTATGAAGGCACACGTTTTCAAATTGCAAAGTAAATGGAATTATTAAAAGTGTTAAAGGTAAATAGGTTGAAATAGCAAAAGGTTAGCCAGCATATACCCACATATTTCTTCTTTCTCATGGCAATTGTTATGTGGGATTTCTGAAGAAATCTTTTCTTAAAAGTGATAAGGTATTCAAGATTGATTTGTCCATTATTTCTCAGAAATATTAATCATTTAAAGAAGGGAAATTTTCAGTTCAATTCTGCCATTCAAATGAATAAAACTATTTTCATATGTCTAATTTTCCTTCTAAGATATTCATATATGTATGTTCTTTCCTGAAGTTTTCAATTTAATAGAATCATCCATGGAAAAGTTAACTTCTTATAAATTTAGAGAAAACTCGAGTAATAAATTCTCTTATTTTACTGCTTCAGTTAATTTACAGAATCGTAAGTTAAATGTCATATAGGGAGGCAGAGAGGTAATATACATAATATAAAATCTGAGGTAATCTTACAGACGTCCTAATCAATACACATGTACACACACACACACACACACACACATTCTACCCCATTTTAATTTTATAAGTATTTCTTCCACTTCAGTCAAAAAGAGTCTGTGTCCTCTGTCAAAAAGGCAAAAAATCTTTAAAAGAGGCAACATAGTTCATAAATCACATATTTCAATTAAAACTAAAATAAATTAAATTCTTTAGTGGAAGTAAATATCTATAGTAAGAAGATGACAGAGAACCAGAAAATACCAGCATCTGAGAAGTGATAGCATTAGAAAAGCCATACATGTTCTAATCTTATGGGTCTTTTATAAACCCAGGAGGATATAAAAGCATAGCTTAAGAGTTTTGCAAAGTTTCTTTGACTAATTTGAAGCATTCCCCAAATCACAATCGCAGGCCCACCCACTTCCCCTAATGCATTTCTACAATGAGTTCTCTTGTATTTTTAGTAACTGTGCTTCTCTTTCTGATTAGCTTCTTCTCTTCAATTTATGAACTCTTCCGGGGCCAGGACAATAGCTTACTTGGAATTGCCCTGTATTTCTGATTCATTACAAGTGTGATCAAGGTAGCTATGCAAACACTGGGTAACAAGAGTCAACCTCAGGAGGTTAAGTCTCACAGATGAAAGGGCCCAACTTCCAGCTCACTGAAGAGCCCAACCCAATATGAGCCTAAAGGCTATACAACTTACTTTTCCATGAGAATACAGAGAATTTCAAATATTTTATCTTGTTTACTCACAAAACAGACTCATGTAGTCGAGAAGGCCATGCATTATTTTCTCCAGTATATACGTATCACGCTAGGAAATATAGCTATAACTTTTCCACTTCAGGAAGCAGTAAAGCCTCTACTAAAATTCTCAAGGTAATCATTCATACACTGATATATGCTAATGACTCCTCCTCAGAAGCCAGGCAAAGAAGGTGACATGCAACAAATTCCAGTTTATTCCACAAAGTCAGTTGAAAGTTATAAGCTGATAGTTTGAAAAAGACCAAAGTCATATATCAGGCTAAGGTCTCGCAAGCCTTTCACAGAGCCAACAGTCTTCAAAAATAATGCCACAGACAAATGAAAAATCTGAATTCTAGGGGGAGGGAGGGTTGGCTCTGTGTGTGTGTGTGGTGTGTGTGTGTGTGTGTGTGTGTGTGTGAAACTCTGAGATTAAACAAATTCAAGGAAGATATAATATCAAAATTTGGAAAGAAACTAAAATGGTTCCATCAGATTAGCACAAAGGTAAGCTAAATAGCAAGTAACTTTGAACATAAAAATATTTGTTAAATAACTATTCATGCTGATGTTCCCTGATTTATAACTCCTTTGAAAATATATAGACTTTCAAAATATATATTATATAACAACAGCTTGTGTTATTTTGTTATCATCTGCACATCTTATTTCCCCATTAGTCTTAAAAGTCTTTCTCTTTCTTTGCATTCCCCATAAAACTAAATATATTGCTTATGCCTTAAGCATGTGTTCAGTGTATGATTTAGCATTGATTGAAGGCCAATCAGCAATACTGTTCTGAGTTAAAGGTACCGTACATTGGAACGGTCATAATTATCTAAAGAACAGAAAAACCTTAAAAATGAGGGGGTTTTCCAAAACCAGTAAAAGAAAGAAAAAAAAAAAAAAAAGAAATAAAAACAAAGCAAAATAATTGAAATTGAAACTAAAAAACAATCCAAAAGATCATGAAACAAAAGCTGGTTCTTTGAAAAAATCAATAAATAGACAAACCCCACCTAGCCAGGCTCACAAAGGAAAAAAGGGAGAAGCACAAATAAACAGGATCAGCAATGAAAGAGGAGAATCACAACGGACACAGCAGAAATCAAAGAATAATCAGTAACTACTATGAAAAGTTATATGGAAACAAGTTTAACAATCTAGAGGAGATGGACAAATTCCTACAACTCTACAATCACCCAAAGCTAGATAAGAAGAAATAGAACACCTAAACAGACAATTACAATTAGCGAAATTGAAGGTAATCAAAACCTCCCCAAAAACAAAAGCCCAGGACCTGATGGATTTACAAATGAATTCTACCAAACATTCAGAGACGAATTAGTGCCTATCCTTCACAAACTCTTCCAAAAAATTGAGAAGGAAGGGACAATACCAAACACGTTCTATGAAGCCAACATTACACTAATACCAAAACCGAACAAGGACAACACAAAAGGAAAACTACAGGCCAATCTCCCTAATGAACACTGATGCAAAATCCTCAATAAAATTTTAGCCATCAGAATCCAACAATGTATCCATAAGATAATTCACCACGACCAAGTAGGATTCATTCCAGGGGCACAAGGATGGTTTAACATCCGAAAATCAATCAACGTCATCCAACACATCAACAAAAAGAAATATAAAAACCATATGATAATATCAATAGATGCTGAGAAAGCTTTCGACAAAGTGCAACACCCATTCATGATAAAAGCCCTTGAAATTCTTGGGATACAAGGAACATACCTCAACATCATAAAGGCCATCTATGACAAGCCAACAGCCAGTATCATTCTCAATGGTGAAAAGCTGAAAGCAATTCCATTAAGATCTGGAACAAGACAAGGATGTCCACTCTCACCACTGCTTTTCAATATAATACTGGAAGTCCTAGCCAGGGCAATAAGACAAGAGAAAGACATCCAAGGAATCCAAATAGGAAAAGAAGATCAAACTATCACTATTTGCAGACGATATGATATTAATACATAGAGAACCAAAAACTCCCAGAGAAGCTTAATTCAACTCATCAATCAGTTCAGTAAAGTGGCAGGATACAAAATCAACACGCAAAAGTCAGTAGCCTTCCTATACACAAACTAAATCTGAGAGAAGAAATCAAAAAAACCATCCCTTTTGTTATTGAAACAAAAAAAATCAAATATTTGGGAATAAATCTAACAAAAGAGGTAAAGGACCTATACAAGAAAACTATAAAACACGTTTAAAAGAAATAGAAGAAGACACAAAAATGGAGAGACATCCCCTGCTCGTGGATTGGAAGAATAAATATTATAAAATGGCCATTCTTCCAAAAGCAATATACAGATTCAATGCTATTCCAATCAAAATTTCAATGTCATTCTTCAAGAAATAGAACAATTATTGATGAAATTCATATGGAATCACAAAAACCAGAAAAGGAAGAATGGGGCATTACACTCCCAGACTTCAAACTATACTACAAAGCCATAATCATCAAAACTGCATGGTATTGGAACAAGCACAGACATACAGACCAATGGAATCGAATAGAAAATCCAGAAATAAACCCACAGATTTATGGTCAACTAATCTTTGACAAAGGAGCAAAGACTATGCATTGGAGCAAAGAAAGTTTGTTCAATAAATGGTGCTGGGAAAACTGGGTCGCTACATGCAAAAGAATGAAGCTTGACCACTACCTCACACCATACACAAAAATCAACTCAAAATGGATTAAAGAACTAGACATAAGACCTGAAACCATAAAATATATAGAAGGAAATATAGGCGAAACACTACATGATTTGCACATCAAAGACATCTTTACAGACACATCACCCAAAGCAGTGATAGTGAAGGCAAAGATAAACAGCTGGGACTACATCAAATTAAAGAGCTTCTGCACAGCAAAGAGACAATAACAAAAACAAAGAGAAACCCCACCAACTGGGAGAACATTTTTGCACCCAACACTAATGATAAAGGATTGATCACAAAAATCTGCAAAGAGCTGATGAGACTCAACAACAACAAAGGAAATAATCCAGTCAAAAAATGGGCAGAAGAGCTAAAAAGAAACTTCTCTGATGAGGAAATGCAAATGGCCAACAGGCATATGAAAAAATGTTCAACATCACTTGCCATCAGGGAAATGCAAATCAAAACTACCATGAGATACCATCTTACACCAGTGAGAATGGCACATATTAAAAAAACTAGCAACAACAAATGCTGGCGAGGGTGTGGAGAAAAAGGAACTCTTCTGCACTGTTGGTGGGAGTGCAAACTGGTCCAACCACTGTGGAAAGCTGTGTGGAGATTTCTGGACCTACTAAACATAGA